AACTAGAAATAGAGAAATATTTGCAGCTACCTCTTATATCCAGACAAGAAGATCCCTTAACTTGGTGAAAGTATAGCCGCAAAGAATTTCTAAATTTGCTTACACTGGCATTGAAGTATCTCTGCGCGCCACCTTCCTCAGTGAACTCGGAAAGAGTATTTAGTGCATCGGGTAACATTTATGTTGAAAATAGAAATAGGTTGTTGCCCGATAATGCGGAAACTTTGATTACTAATTATATGCTATTAAATTGGATTACAAAAATACAAAATCTGGGAAAATTTCTAAATTGAATCTTTTATAATCGATATCCGGAATCCGGCCGGATATTAGCCAGTATCCGGCCGGATAACCGGATAACCAAAAAACGGCCGGATAGGCCGGATTCCGGATATCTACCGGATACCCGGCACATCCCTAGTACATACAAATATCGTTAGCTTAGAGAGCAAAGTCTCTAAGCCAGAGAGGGAAAAATATTCTTGTTGTCATTTTCTTCAAGTATTTCGAAAATCTTTGAATACAACATTTCGCGTGTTTAAAGCAAAGAAAAACTCTATACGAATAAGAAGGATTTGATCTTTATTAAAAGATTTCGTAATATTTTGGTTTTGTCGGCATTTCTTGCTTCCTACATCAAAATATGGGTTTTCATAAAAAGTGGACTTAGCAACTTTTCACGCTAAGCTAGCGATTTACGTGTACATATAATGCCAATAAGCAAACACTCATAAAATCATTTCACATACAAATTTTTTTTTTATTTTCACCTTTGCAGCATACTAAATTGTTTTTTTTTCAGTGGTGTTTGTCCAATGGCTATGTTTACAGTTTAAAGCGCATGTTGAGCTAGTGACATCGATGTGAGCTACATATTGAAATTGCACAAATAAGTTATATCAAAAGTTTCTCTTGACACACTCGATTTCGTTTAAATGTTCATTACAGCGAAAATTTTTAATTGAAATACATACATATGGACTTAGTCGGTTAGTATGGATTCAGTCCACACCCACAACTATGACATCGATGTCGTGCTCGCCTATCTCTATGAACTCATTGTACTCGCCTTTGTCTTCTTGCATTGTAGATTGGACCCCTAAAAAAAAAAGGAGAAGCTAATTAAGTACATATTTCAGTATGTATGTATGTATGTATGTATGTATGTACTCAATATATACATAAATATCGTTACCTTAATAAACATAGAATGGCCTTATCTAACATTTTTGCTTCTTTACAGTGTAAGTACTTGCTATGAAATATAATGTAAACATACATACATTATTTCTCATTGTTTTTAAATTGTTTTAGGTCCTTGAAGAGTAATTCACTGGTTTAGAATGGTGGTAGAATTGCTGAAGAAAATAATTTAAGCCTTTCTATATGAAGGTACCGATATGTAAGTATGTATCTTCAGAATTAGAGTCGGATACTATCGGTGGTGCCATCAGAAGTTGGTGCCACAATATAGTGGAGTTTTCAATTTACTCAATCAAGAAAAATGTATTAATTAATGTTTATAACAACAAAACAATAATGAGTTCCTCTCTTTACTTTATCGTAATCAAAAAAAAAAAACTGAATGCAAAAATATTTACATATGTATATATATAAGAAACATTGCGTATCGTGTGGCAAAACCAACTGAAATGTTTATAAATAAAGTGTTATAGTGATATCATTACTACCGAAAAATGTTGCCCTTGCACGTTGCAAACTGTATTTGATGTTACACTCGCCCCTGTAAAAGGGCATGTTTTTGCCTTCTTGTCCTTGTCCAGCTCACGCATTTCACAATACCTACGTTTTAAGCAACCATCTGATTTTCAGGGCAACCATCTTCTCCGACAAAGTTTCAAAGGGCAGAAAATGTGCCTTTTTGCCTTACAAGAGTGTGACATTTTAAGAAACGAACACCGCCGTTTGCCTTTATTTTGGAATCGAACGCGAAAAGAGAAAGGGGCAATGAAAAGGCGACATTTTTGGTAGAAACGGAAACACAATTAATGAATAAAAAGTTTGAAAACATCTCAAAAATTTACAAGTTCTTAAAAGAGTACGATCTGCTTCAACGTTTCTAATATAGCCCTCATTAACCAGCCAGCCGAAGTTCTCTGTAGCTAGCACTGCTATTTATGGTTCATATATGTATTGTTATTGATATGTAAAATTTTATAAAAAAAAAATCTTAAGTTTAGTCATAAAAGGTCCCATTGAAATCAAGAATAACAGAATACAAGATTGCGCCAATCGAGCTGACAGCAACCGGGCTTGACGTCAACAATTACCAGAATGAGAGAGCAAGACGAACTCGACAAGAAAAAGAGGAAGCATCGAACAAAAGACAGTATTGTCACTGTGAAATGATTTTGTTAAAATTTTTTTAAAGTTGTTTACTACACTTACGATCGCTATAAATTTTGCTTTCTTTTTTTTAAGATTTTCAAAGTCACCAAACTAAAAAAATTTCGCGTTTTGAATAACCACTAAATTTGGTGCGAAAAGCATCAAGTTGGCAACATTGAATGTAAACAAAAGTATTGTGTGACGTCAGCGAATGGGTGGATGCTGTCAAATCGACGAAGAGAGGGTTAGCGGTCCGCGAATGGCGCCACCTTCATTTTCTGCATCGTTCATTGAAATCACTTCAAACGGCGAAAACACAATAATTTTATATATGCATACATACATACATCTAATAATAAGTAACTTTTTTATGCAAAATTTTTTAAAATCTTTTTTAGCGATTTTATCGCGATATATAGTATCGGTTGTCATTTCAAACAATAACAAACATATACATACATATGTCGATAGTTTTCCACCTCTATCCTTAATGGCATACCTACGGATGATGTACTGTTGAATTCGGAACTTATTTTTTCTCCCTGCACTGTAGAACTTTGCGCCGCGCTGGTATCCGTGTATTTATAAACAGAGAAATACGTTTGGATGCGCTGAATTATATGCTCCAGAAACGGCGGAAATTTGTGCTCGGTGCCGTCGCCATAGATTTTGATGTTGCCTTTGCTATAGCTGGCCACTCGCCGTGGATACGTTTTGAAGCCCCCGGTCGCAGCTTTGAGAAATAGGATATTCGGCATATTGGCGTTATTTCCCGCGGATCCCCGCAATATCACTGTACCGTTCGGCGTAAATTCGAAGTAGCCGAACCTTTCGAGACCACCCCGGCCACCTTCGAAGCGATTAAAACCACCTGATTCATTGACGGGCTTATTTGCTTCAAAATTTTGAAAGATTGTTGTGCTGTATACGAATGGCAACACGCGCCCTTGCGTAATGGTCAAACCAACCAAGAAAAAGTGAATCAAGGAGACAAATAATAAAATGTCCCAAGCTCTCATTGCACAACCACCTGACTTATTCATATTAAAACTTCACAGATAATTATAGTTATGTGTATGGCTTTGTGACGCGATCGCTTATTTCAATTTGTACCGCTTTCTTTTGCGTCAATAATGTAACTGATGGGGCATCGCACGTATTAACAGCAATAACCGCTTTTAGTGCCTAAATAACTGCACACGATTGGCATTTACAATTGGCATCGTCTGCATTTTGCAGGTCCATAATTACCAATGCAAGTACATATTTACGCTTGTAATGTTATTGGAAGAATTTTAATTATTGGCGTGGTCGAGCCTCTGAAGGCGGCGCTTTTTTTTTGGTTTTTGTTAACAGATCCGATATTTCATCGATTTTTAATTTTAAATGTAGTCTATTAAAATCACAACTAAGTCATTGTCGCTTACAATTTTTTACAGTGCAAGAAAATTTGACAATTTTGTTTATGCCTTGGTAAATTTTCCAATGCATGGGATGCATTTTCCATGGCCGAAACAATTTATCCACAATCTGTAGCCATTCAGTATTTATTATGAACTTAGTTTTCTATCAATATATCGAAATTTTAGTATACAGAATTTATTAAAAAATTTAAGTTTTTGGAGATTATAAGCTTGGTAAAGAGAATTTGTTCAGTCGTGTCTTTCCATTTTTGTTTTTTTTTTTTTTTGTATACCAATATGAATTGATCAAACTTCGATTGCGTTTTCCCACCAAATTAAAATTTTGAAATAATTCTCAATTGTATTAAACGTCCGGTATGTACTTATACACATTGCACTCGTACGTACATATGTACATACATACATATATTTTTATTTATAAAATAATACATTAATACAGAAAAAATAGAAACTTCACGAAAAACGTGGGGTCGTGAACTGCTGTGTATAATAATAAGATATAATTAATGAACGAAACTTTAATGGGTATTTTAAAATACATATCGCTTCCTTATCATAGAAAGGCCGTAACTAACATTTTTATTTCTTTATAGCGTTGTTATAAAACTTTATAAAAACCAAATTCTTCAGTTGCGAATTTCTTCCAAGCACAGGTTTTTGATAAACACTGAAACTAGATTATTGGTATTTTTTTGGTAGGTACATACATAAGCAATAACCGCCTAAGTCGACTTAAGAAAGAATTGAGTTATATACGCCATCGTATTCTGCAAAGTTAAAAAGTTATAGACGAACATATTTTAGTTGCCCTATAAGGTTAACATTACAATCCAAATGTTTAAAACGTTTTTTCTCGAATTCAGGTTTTTCGACTTAGGCGATTATTGCTTACCACTACGTTACTAGCAAACTAAAGCATATACATACATACAAACATATGGGTCTTTCCATGAAAATGTAAACCTCAAATGCAAGCAAATGAATTCAAACAGCTTTAAAACTTTGGAGAGAAAAACTGAAAAAATTAAGTTAAAACTTTTATTTAGTATGTGTTACTACTAAACTATTATTATGTTTTTTTTTTTTTTAATAAAAACTAACCAGAGATAATTTCTGTAAAAAAATGGAAGGATTGTAAAGGTACATTATTTAGCTTAGTTTAGGAATTTTTAAAGAAAAAAAAACTTCCATAATTCGCAGACTTTCGCATATATGTATGTATATCTGTCTTAAAACCACTTCTTTTTTTGTCGCGTACGTTATCACCTGGTTTTGAACGGATATTTTCCACACCAAAGTTTCGAGGCTGCTTATATCCTTCTCAACCATAATACCCTTTGTTTTCAGTAACTTCTATTTTTGAGAGATTTATGTTACTCCATAAGCGTACGAATTTCGCGTCCGGCTGCATGGAAACACCCACGTGTATGATAATTATTCGACACTAACATATTGACAAGATTTTACTATTTATTTAATTTAACAAAAACCGTATAAGTTTCAGTGTTTGTACAATATTTAAAAAAAAAATAAATCAACAAACTTTCGTAAAAATGTCGAGCTTTTTAATTATATTTTATAGAAAAACTTTGAATATGCAGCTTTGTAGCCCATTCAGTTTGGTATATGACATTTTTTTTTCATATGAGGTACTTATGTTCGCCAATTTTTTATATGGAGAAAAAATTCCCAAAAATCAACGGTAAGTATTTTCGGTTCATACCTTTCTCAAAATACAAACCTGAGAAATTTAGCATTATTTATTACATAGTGAAATATCGTAGAATTTGTATCTTTCGAAAATACCGTCCCATGGGAGGTCAGCGTGGTTGTGGTCCGATTTTGAAAAAGTTCCAAAGAATTTTTGAGTGGGGCTAACAGTAATGAGTGTATTAAGTTTGGATGAAATCGGTTAGGCGCCCATTTAAAAAAATTCATTAAAATTAATTTGTTGCTTAATTTTCACTCAATCTACAAAATTTTAGTTATTTGGCTGCAGTAGTTACATACTTAAATATCGCAGTGTCCGTATTTTCAGAAAATAACTCTTTATGGACGGCAAACGTAGTTTGGATTCGATTTTATCCGTTTTTATTACCAACCTCATCTGGATAACAAGTGTACCAAATTTTATTGCGAAACATCATTTAATTTCAAAGAAACATACAAGCGGAACCACTGTGCGCGACACGGCGGCCGCAATTAATGTTTTATATAAAATTACACTATGAATCTTTTAGGTAAATAAAACCAGGGAACGAAAATAAACTGTACAAAACAATTCCCATTTGCTCATCGATCATCATATCATTTGTGGTTTTGTACA